TTCTTGTTTCAGGCTTTCCAGAATTTCGGGAAGCTCCTGCATCTTTACGTTCTGCAATCCATGGAATGCGGCCGGCCTAGGTGGGAGGCTCAGAAGATTCAGGGTACTCTCAACCCTAAGTGTGGCAGGTGAGAACAAAAACCTACAGTTGTTGCTATCTGGTTTCGTTGCATCTTGTATACTACATAGCATTTTAGGCTAGCTTTAAGTGTATTGAATTTGTACTTGAATTATGTTAAAAGTATGTCTTACCCATAGGCCCTTAAGTAGTTTCTTTTTTGGGGATTACCTTATAGGATTCTAAATTTTAAATATAAACCATAAATCAGGAACTACTACGGGTCCTATGGGTATAGATTATGAGATATCTGAATGCAAGCCCAGGCTTCGGAGTCGCTGCAGTGGATACTGGGCTGCTTTCTACGGCACTGAACGAGTCTGCAGTGTGGTTGCTTTAGGGCCTTTGGGGTTTAGGGGCAAAAGGGATTGGGGGTTTAGGGTTTAGGGTTTCGTATGTATGAATATGTCAAGAAATCAAGGGATGAGTAAGTAGTTCAAGAAAGGCATGGTACATATTTCGACATGCGTGTACAGATGTGTACAGGTATTTAAGCACGCATTTTTGCATGCATGCATACATGCACAGATAGACTGACAAATAGGTGTGTGTGTGTGCGTGCTTGTCGGTCCATCGGCTCCGCTGTCAGTCCATTCGTTGAAGCTTTTGCACCTCTGCAAACAGGTAGGAATTATGTACGCATTCGCTGCATGCACTCCTCTGCGAGTCCAGCCTCTCATTCCTTCGTGACAGTACATGTCCGCACAAGCATGAAGAGTTAAAGATGCATGCAAGGGTGAAGGAGCTGTAGCCACATGCCACCACAACACACTGGACTAGCAGCCTTTGCTTTTCCTTCAAGCGCCATCTGAATCTCAAGATGTAGGAGAAATTCTTCCGTCTTGCTGAGGCGAATGCGATGTTCCCACAGCAGCTATGCTAAGCTGTTCCTGGTGTACTGAGGAATCGCGGAGCTGCTGCTTTCCTGACTGCCTTTCCAAACTTCAGGGGTAAGGAGACCTTACTTGGCTAAAGCATCCTGTGCAGTGCTGCCATTCGCCTGGTGCCCCCGCCATGATCCAGAAACGGATTTGGCCCGAGCACCTTTCCTGCGCATGGGTGTACGCGGCAGGGCAGCGCTGGCGAAAGGATACTTTCATATAGTTGCATGAAGATAGTTGAGTTCTCAATCTACTTCAATTTGTACAACTGTTGTGATTCTGTTTTGTTTGCCGATGAGGCCGGTTTGATTGCAAGCGTACGCTGCACTTTTTATTGCATTCGCCTGCTTTTTCGCGGCATTTTCCCTTCGAAAAAGAGGGAGGTCTCGATTCTGTATTTCTGGTCGTAGCTCATTGGCTACACAGGCGCACACTGAGCAAGTTTTTGTTGTGAAGGTGTTGAGGAGGTGGACCTTCAGCAGCATGTAGGTTGACATGGTCCATCACGGTGCCACAGGTTCATGACGCATAACCTGGTCTTCAGGTGAGACAGCATGTCTTCGATCTGCAGGCTTTGTGCCAGAGAAGCCCAACACCCAAGACCCTACACGAGACCGAACTCAAGCCGTTACATCCTTGTGCTACTCACTTCGATTCGGGCATGTCAATAGCCGAGCCGGACGCGGCTGACGTCCAGAAACATGTTCCGCTACCCCCCCCCCCCCATTTCGGCATGATGACAGGGCCGATGGCATATGGGCTCACAGTAGCCAAAAGAGACCTGCTCGGCGCATTAGCGCGCTTGCCTGCATGGGGGTGTGCTGGCTGCAACGTGGGGTCAGGTAGGGGCACTTCCGAGCCAGGGATTCCGTTAAATTCTGAAAATTCGGAATTTAGAATTAAAGCCGCAGGGCTTCTTGCCCAAGGTGCACGCCCCTTCAGCGACGGACAGAGACAAGTTCCAGCGGCAGGTTTAGGATACGGATGTAAGAGGTGGAACAGCATTGATCGAAGTGCCGCAGTGGACACAACGTCACCAAGCAATCCAATCATGATCGTGCATCATCACATATTTGGTGAAATCGTTGTTCTTTGTTTCATGGTGCTCTTCTATCGGTTTTGGTGTATATTAAAATAAAGATCATTATTTTTATAAGGAACCCCCAAAATACTATAGGTGCTGACCCAACTTGGAAGAACATATGCGTTGGTCGTCCTGGAACGGGTCCCACGTCCCCCTGTCGAAAGCCGGCTTGGAGCTTCCGCCTTCTTCCTTTAATTAGTTGATACAATATATATATATATATAATAT